GATACCACAGAGCTGATGCTGATCTCGTCTGCTGGCACTCCCTGGTGAAAAATAGGGGGAGAAAGTTATCTTTGTTTTTGAGAATTACTTCAGATATAAGCTGTAGTATTGTAGGTGAAGTTAAGGGTAATTAAGGAATGTAAGTGAGGTAATGATTTTCATTGCAAATTCAGATATCTGTAATAATCTGTAATATCTTCATCGCAACAGACCCGTCAACAGGAAACTTCAACTCACATCGATGAAGAACCAGAAAGAGAAGCAGAAATCACTGTGTTGTTCTGGCGTCAACAGCTGACTCTCTAACACTGCTGTTCCCGTTGTGCCGTTCTTGCCATCCACGTAGAGGAACTTCCCTAGAGCGAAAGCAGATTTTATTGTCACATATAACTGGTATTTTTGATCGATGGCTTGTCTTGTTCGTTGCTTGTATGCATACATATCTAAATTTGAATTTTATTTACACTCATAGGCATACTATAGAAACATGGCCCTGCAACTGTCCAAAACACCACTCGTAATTTACGAAACGAAAAGAAACAAGCATGACCTTACCTTTCGTATCTCCGGTGTGGTCATCCGGAGGCGAAATCCCGTTAAGACCGTCGTCTCCCGAGCTCTGAATCCAGTCCGTTTCGTCTGTCACATTCTCTGTCTGGTTAAGGTTCTGCCATCCACACGTCCCCACTGGAAGGTGCAGGTACCTGGGAATAAGACATAATGATAAGTTTTGTTAAATACATTAATGCAGAGGAAAAATCTTGATGACTATTTACATACATAATGGAGACCAAGGTTATGTGATAGAGACCATTACATAACCGAGAATTTCCACACACCTATGTTCGGACACTCCTTCTCCAGGATCTCCACGTCGTCGAGCGCAAACACGCCCTTGTTGTCCCTCTTCCTCTGCACGGCTCTCCATATCACGCTGAAGTGGCTCCGGCCGGAAGGGATGGCGATGTTGGCCCTCATCCACGTGTACATGTGGTTCGCTAAGAAACACAAGAACGGGATGCTTAGTGTTTGGTGTATTTTCATTGACACTTTTTATTTATCTATTTCAATTTTCCGCATCATATTCGTGTTCATCTGGCCATTTTCATTAATGGATCGTTCACCGCACAAGCCATTCATTGTACATTCATGAGTCATAAGAATTAAAGTGCTTATTCAATAGATATCAAAATCTTATACACATTATTCGCCTTTTTTAATTACCGTCGACCTTTTTCAATTATTCATCACTTACCAATATAAAACTTGCGGCATAAGATAACTGACAAAAACACATATTCCGTCTCAAAACATAATCCAGTGTACACGAAAACACAAAAAATATCTTCCTTGGTACTCTCGACCGTGAGGAAGAGTAACCATACATTTAATAATTTCCCACATACCACCGTATTTATCTTTTGAGACCTAAGCATACCCTCTTCCACCGGCTTCAGACCCAGAATTGCACCTCCTTACCATTCTCTCTCCACGCAGCCCGAGGGAAGACGGTAAGTCCGTGTTTTACATAGACTTCGAGCACGTCCCTGTCTGTGTTCCCGTTGTGGATGTACCAGAAGACGAGGCACTGCTTTTCGTGTCTCTCCTGGCTGTATTCGGGACTCACCACGCGCCCCACCACGCCCTCGCGGTCGTCTTCCAAGGGCGCGGCGAGGTAGTGCCCTGTGTTAGATGTAATACAGCCTTTATTTTTGACTGTGTACGTTATTTTGTTATACTATAATCATTACTGGTATCATTATTATCATCACCATCGTCATAACCTGTATCATTTTATTATCATCATTACCATCATATCAAGCAATGTATTACCATATCCTGTGTAATAAGTATGATCCCTGGACGGGTGAGGGAAATCGTTGTCAGGGCTGTTTGGGTACGTCCATATCCACTTGCCATGTTCGTCCTCCAACTTGAACCCACACAGATCCTCTTCGAAATCACATATCACTTAAGAAGAAGAAGGAAAAATATTGATTTTCATAAGAGTCACAAGGATCTAATTATAAGTTTTCTATGTAGGTCTACTAAAAGGTACACCATACTGAAATCAGGATTCACGGGAAAAAGTAGATTTAATTCCAGTGTCATTATTATCCATTTTGTTTTGTACTAACAGGGACGTGAGATTGATGTACATCATTCACACAATTAATAATGGTTACTATAGTCGCTGTAAAAAAAATGATTTCTACGAGGAAAAATATATTTCACCGTCCTCATAAGAAACCCCATATACCAGACATGATAAATAGATAAACTAAATAACTGGAGAGACTCAAAAGAGACAGCCAATTACAACAGAATCCATTGCCTCGTAATATTATCCAAGAAAGAAAACAGCAATCCACCGAAGGGAACGAGAGCGAGAGAGGGACACAACACTCACTTCTCGTGTCCGGGGCGTCCGTGGGTCCGACGACGCTGCAGGGGGCCTCGTGGAGGAGCAGCTCGTCGAGGGCGATGATTCCTTCCTCGTTCATGCCTTTCTCTGCTTCGAGGACAATCTGGCGAGAGGCAGGTTAAGTTTTTGTGTATGACTTGATGCATCTGTCTTTGGCAGGCCAAAAGGGTGAGAGGGAGAGGAGAAAGGAGGAAGGGGAGAGAAAAGGAAACGAGAGAAAGAAGGTATTATAGATATATAGAGAGAGGGGTGTGTGTGTGTGTGTGTGTGTGTGTGTGTGTGTGTGTGTGTGTGTGTGTGTGTGTGTGTGTGTGTGTGTGTGTGTGTGTTGTGTGTGTGTGTGTGTGTGTGTCTGTGAGAGAGAGAGAGAGAGAGAGGAGAGAGAGAGAGAGAAGAGAGAGAGAGAGAGAGAGAGAGAGAGAGAGAGAGAGAGACAGAGAGGAGGGCGGAGAGAGAGAGAGATTGGGAGGGAGGAAGGAGGGAGAGTAAGAGAGAGAGTGAGAGAGAGAGGGGAGAGACAGAGAGAGAGAGAAGGGAGGAGGGGAGGGAGAGTAAGAGAGTGAGAGAGAGACGCACAGGGATAGTTAGAAAAGAAAAGAAGAAAGAAAA